TTGCTCATAGTTCACTATGGTGATGCGGTTTCTATCTATTTATATATAAAATATATATCTGTATATTATAGTTTCTATATATAGATATGTAAGATTGTATATATATATATATATATGTAAAACTGTATATATATATATTCTATACAGATTATATCGATACTGGACCATACTGTAGATATTACTTACTAGATTCTAACTATATATAATATTACATATGTTATATATATAGGTAATATGTTTCTATGTACATGAAATACTGTGTATCGATGTGTATTAATATATATTTGTTTTTAATATTTTTATATATATTTGTTTTTAATACTTTATATCTATGTGTAACGATATGTATCTGTTATAATTGTATTACATTTTAATTCATTATTCTATATCTTTATCACATAGTCGGCCTGTCGTTATCCAGTGAATTCGATCAAGTATTATTTTTGCGAATATCACAGTAGTGAAAAATGCATTTCATTGACTACGTTAGTCAGAAATCGATTATGATGGCCTAATATGGACAATGACGTTACTCATGAATTAAATAGGCACATCAAAATAATTACTTTTGGTTTCGGCGTCCATATTTTTACATTGAAAACAAATAAGATGTAACCTTTCTGACTTCTGTAAAAAAAAATCTTAAATTTGATTCCATTTACATACGATTTTATGAAACTCGTCTGGAAGTCTTAGATTTTGCTAAAAGCAAAAAACTCGTTTAGAAGTTCTAATTTTTGTTCGAAAAGGTTTGCAAAAATTTTATAAAAACTTTTAAGAATCGATTCTTGACATCTCATGAAATGAACGCTATATATATCATATATCTATATATAACACTATATATCTATATATTATATATCTATATATTTAACACTATGTATCTATATATTATATATCTATATTTAACACTGTATATTTATATATCATATATCTACATATAACACTATATATCTATATATTATATATCTATATTTGATACTATATATCTATATATTATATATCTATATCTAACACTGTATATTTATATGTTATATATCTATATATACATTATATATCTATATATTATATATCTATATGTAAAGCATTTGTTTGAACTCTGTTCAGCTATTTCCACGAGAGAACTTTTTATTACACATGTGACTGTTTAATGTAACATTTTTACAATACGATGACTTATCAATAATTGTGACGTCAAAAAGGACGTCACGCGACAATTCCAAAAAGTCGTATATTTCAAGTGTTCAACTTTTGTTGTCTGTATCGTTACCTCTAATTTAGCAGGCTAGGGTACTGACAGTGTAATTTGTTAAAAATATTTCACAGTAAAACAGAAAGTCAAACAGTGTTCAATTAGGATTCTCAAATAATATTTATCTAAAACTCTGTCTGAAGTTGAAAAATCCTGTTTCAACAAGTTTTTATGGATTTTTTCGTGCTTGTGTAATAAAACAGATATTTAATGTCTTCTAATAGTGAAGGTTAAGTATTTGCCCCTGGGTGATGGTAGTTGACCTTGTGTTCTATTCGGCTTGGTGCAATACAGCACAGTCATGTGCCAGCACCTCGGGCCAGATATATTTGACTTTGGCATGGTAAAACATAAACTACCTGTATTATGTAATAGTCTCTATATATCTTAATGTAACACTATATATCTTTATGTAACACTATATATCTTAATGTAATACTTTATATCTATATATCACTATATATCTTAATGTAACACTATATATCTATATATATATATTTACATGTAATACTTTATATCTTAATGTAATACTTTATATCTTAATGTAATACTATATATCTTAATGTAATACTTTATATCTTAATGTAACACTATATATCTTAATGTAATACTATATATCTTAATGTAACACTATATATCTTAATGTAATATATATATTTACATGTAATACTTTATATCTTAATGTAATACTATATATTTACATGTAATACTGTATATATATATATATATATATATGTAATACTGTATATCTGTATGTAATACTCTTTATATATATATCTATATATGTAATATTCTTTACTTATCTGTGATACTGTAGATATATTTAAAACGTGGTATATAATGTATATATGTGTAACACTCCTTATTTATCTCTGATATTGTATTTATGTATAATACTCCTTCTTTATCTATGATATTGTATTTATGTATAATATTCCTTATTTATCTATGATATTGTATATGTATATAATACTCATAATTTAAAACGTGGTATATCATGTATCTATATATTACTGACGAACTTGGAACGATCTTCAGTGTTACACATGTTATCAATAACAGCCCACATTCCTATGATATCAATATATATCAAAAGTTTAGCCTTGTTTCACATCTTACAAAGTTTACATGTGTCATAGTATCTACATACGACTAACGTTCCTACAGTATACAGAAATAAACATCACTTTTAACTGACTCTTATGACGTAACGAACTTAATTTGAAGATTCAAAGTTAATATTATTGTACTTGAAAAACCCTTAAAACAAATGTTTAAATATCCGGGCAGTGAGATGGATAAAGTTGGTTAGATACTAACAGGAATCTGATTGAAAAGTATTAATATGTTTTACCGTTTAACTGAATATTCTTATCAATATCAGTAATGAAAGATTGGACGAACATGGTATGAACAAATAATTGTCTGAATGATGTACAAATGTATGCATTAGTAAGTTAATGAACACAGAAACAAAAACAATGATATCGTAAATATTTATTATATCAACAGTATAAACATACAGCCAAAAAAAGAAAAGGAGAAAAACACAGGAAAAAGTGGGGACAGACAGGAAGGAGACAAGGAAGAGGAAGAAATAGAGGAAATGGGGACAGTTAAAGATGATCTAGGACGGAACCGATGTTGTAAAGAGGGAGGATGACAGACGGAAAAGACTGGACCAATAGTGTACGATAACCTACCTGTAACGGGTGTAGGGACACAGGGGTAGGATAAGCTGAAAAAAATCAGGAAAAATACGGAGGGATGAAAGGGAATGTTAGGGACGGGATAACAGATTGGCATAAAGTACAGAAGGGATGAATGGAATGAAAGAAAAAGAAAGGAAATGGTGATAGATAATGAAATGAATGAAGGTATTGTGAACAAGAGAGACCTACTATCTATAATCTGTCACGTTTAGACAGATACTACCTTGTATCTAGTTCTTAGCAGCTGTGACTAGTAATTGTTTGTTTTTTATATATATTTCAACATTGAGAATTCACATGTTAAACATTTCCTGTAAGTCTGACTAGGCTGGACATTATAATATATAATATACAGCTGATTAATGTGTTTTATGTTTTTAAAATGTGTGACACTTAAATAAAATGTACCTGATTTTGCTAGCTGTAATCATTCACAGGTCGTCTACATGTGAATACTGCACACCTGTATCCAGGCAAAGTGTCTGTAGAGAATGACAAGTGACCTGTATAGATCGATGTGGTGTCTGATTGATACATGGCGATCACCTGTATCGATCTCATTATGTCGTTAACAACCTACGTCACCAACAAAAGCCTGTCATAATACATTTAAACTACAAATCATTGATAGATACAGTTAATTTACCTCCAATCTCTTTATACTCACGATGAGTGATATCGGTGTTAAAACAGGTTGAAAAAGCGAAACACTGATTCATTTTATTTCCATATAAATTCTGCACAAAACAAACAGCATTCTTATATTCTCGACTACAATGAAAAAGGTTATCAACAGAAAGAAACCGTAGTCCACTCACATCATCAACCTAAGCTATTAAAGTTATCATATTAATATTTTTTTACCTCAATCGCTCAGCTTACAACAATCCGTAACACAAACCGAATATTCCATCGTCCAGAATTACATCCCCTACAAAATTCACAAATATAGGTCACCAGTCATACCACTAGAAAATTCCAAGCAAAGCATATTCATCAATAAACATGACCTAAAATTTAACAGCATACTCGTCAGATCATATTACAAAAAATGTCAGGAACCACACAACTGAGGCAGTCTTTGTCAAAACTGAGACAGTTTTTGACACAACTGAGACAGTATTTGTCACAACTGAGACAGTTTTTGACACAACTGAGACAGTTTTTATCACAACTGAGTTAGTCTTTGTTACAACTAAGACAGTCTTTGTCACAACTGAACCAGTCTTTGACACAACTGAGACAGTCTTTGTCACAACTGGGTTAGTCTTTGACACAACTTAGAAAGTCTTTGACACAACTGAGATAGTCTTTGACCCAAATGAGACAGTCTTTGTCACAACTGAGACAGTTTTTGTCACAACTGAACCAGTCTTTGACACAACTGAGACAGTCTTTGTCACAACTGGATTAGTCTTTTACACAACTTAGAAAGTCTTTGACACAACTGAGATAGTCTTTGACCCAACTGAGACAGTTTTTGACACAACTGAGACAGTATTTGTCACAACTGAGACGGTCGTTGACACAACTGAGCCAGTCTTGGTAACAAATGAGACAGTCTCTGTCACAACTGAGACAGTTTTTGTCACAACTGAGTTAGTCTTTGTTACAACTGAGACAGTCTTTGTCACAACTGAACCAGTCTTTGACACAACTGAGACAGTTTTTGTCACAACTGAACCAGTCTTTGGCACAACTAAGACAGTCTTTGTCACAACTGGGTTAGCCTTTGACACAACTTAGAAAGTCTTTGACACAACTGAGACGGTCTTTCACACAACTGAGACAGTCTTTGACACAACTGAGACAGTCTTTGTCACAACTGAGACAGTTTTTGTCACAACTGAGTTAGTCTTTGTTACAACTGAGACAGTCTTTGCTACAACTGAGACAGTCTTTGTCACAACTGAACCAGTCTTTGACACAACTGAGACAGTTTTTGTCACAACTGAACCAGTCTTTGACACAACTGAGACAGTCTTTGGCCCAAATGAGACAGTCTTTGTCACAATTGGGTTAGCCTTTGACACAACTTAGAAAATCTTTGACACAACTGAGACGGTCTTTGACACAACTGAGACAGGCTTTGACACAACTGAGATAGGCTTTGACACAACTGAACCAGTCTTTGACACAACTGAGACAGTCTTTGGCCCAAATGAGACAGTCTTTGTCACAATTGGGTTAGCCTTTGACACAACTGAGACGGTCTTTGACACAACTGAGACAGTCTTTGACACAACTGAGACAGGCTTTGACACAACTGAGACAGTCTTGGTAACAATTGAGACAGTCTTTGGCCCAATTGAGACAGTCTTTGTCACAATTGAGACAGTTTTTATCACAACTGATACAGTCTTTGACACAACTGAGATAGTCTTTGTCACAACTGAGATTGTCTTTGACACAACTGAGACAGTCTTTGACACAACTGAGGTAGTTTTTGACACAACTGGGCAAGTCTTTGACACAACTGAGACAGTCTTTGACACAACTGAGACAGTCTTTGACACAACTGAGATAGTCTTTGACACAACTGAGACAGTCTTTGACACAACTGAGGTAGTTTTTGACACAACTGGGCAAGTCTTTGACACAACTGAGACAGTCTTTGACACAACTGAGACAGTCTTTGACACAACTGAGACAGTCTTTGACACAACTGAGACAGTCTTTGACACAACTGAGGTAGTTTTTGACACAACTGGGCAAGTCTTTGACACAACTGAGACAGTCTTTGACACAACTGAGACAGTCTTTGACACAACTGAGACAGTCTTTGACACAACTGAGATAGTCTTTGACACAACTGAGACAGTCTTTGACACAACTGAGATAGTCTTTGTCACAACTGAGATTGTCTTTGTCACAACTGAGACAGTCTTAGACACAACTGGACAGTTTTCGACACAACTGGGCAAGTCTTTGACACAACTTTTTGACACAACTGGGCAAGTCTTTGACACAGCTGAAATAGTCTTTGTCACAACTGAGACAGTCTTTGACAATATCATCAAGACATTTCTTTATTGACTTTCACAAAATAGTACCTTAGTTAAGATTTATTAAAATATTCAACTTGACACTATTACAAGCGAAAAAGTTAATCATCATTTGTTCCTAACAATATCACATGCAGACATAGTTATATCACATATAATACTATTCTTTAAGTGACGATAATAATGGATTAGGATCTCACAATAACTGTCTGTGTAAGCTCACATATCTTAATATACAATATGACGAGTCACAGGAAATCTTAAGACAATAGTGATGACACACAGATATAACGATCACTTCTCCCTAACCAGAAAGTATATTGTCTTAAACGTGATATAATACCCAGTCATGTTACATTGTCTAATGGCATCATATATACTAATCATCATTTGCTAATTTTCCGATCAGATTCCAAATCAGTGAATTTGCCACCATTGTACCGATCTCAACAACACGGGGACAATGTTACCCATGGATACCACTATATTGAGACAAAATACAGTGTCAAAAAGTACTGGTTCACTGAGAGGCCGTAACAGTGGGCGTAAAACTCGTGAAATAAACAATAAATGTGTCAGAATGTGTATTTATAATATAAATATTCTACAGAATAGATGGAATTACCAGGAAATCTTTATAAAACACACCTTACTATCAACAAGCAGTATTTTTTAGATAAAGACATTTTATGCTAGAATGATAATTTATTTGCATCGAAAATTGTTCTTTATTATAAGTAATGATGAAACATACCTGATACTTGTAAGTGATACAATCAGATATAGGATTATCATATAGTAAAGTCGGAAAGTCCTGTCGTTACGATCCTTCCAGTACAAATGCCTTTTACTGGTGTGTGGTGGAGGCCTATATTCACTAACCCGATAAAAATGTGTCACACTATATTTAGACTTCTGGATATAGATATAAGAAAAAATGAAATCTTAAATATTAATTAAATATTCTATATAAAAAAGCATTATTACATAAATATCAGTATCATTGAATGATACAGAGAGAATACCGAGAATTACTTGTGATGAAGAAAGAAGGGAATAATAGTCAGTGCTGATGAAACAACAAACATACTGTTTTTTACTGGTTGGTTTTTTTTATTTTCCAATCATTTCAAGACGAAAGATTCTGTCATGTTAACCGCACATAACGCCATTCGTAGTTACAAAACGACTGTCAGAGATCAACGTAACATCACATTTGACGAAGCTATTAAGGCTGTAGGCCAGACGTGACTTTAACATAGATGACACAATTATCAAACAACTCTCAGAAAACTATGGCAACGTATAGGGATCACAAGAAAATAAATCTCACATTGAATAAATAGTGCGCATCAGATAGGTGTTTGTTGTGGCCCTAATACGCTGCCATACTGCGGAAACTAAGTAGAAACATCGATATTCTTGTTTAAATAACAGTATGAAAAATATACCATTTTTACATGCTGTATTCTGTTTTGTTGAAGCCTCAAGATGAAAGCTAAAAACTTTAAATTCATTTCGGGGAGAATTTGATACAATGGGACGATCATTAACGCAGAAGAGAAATATTCAACTTTTACATTTTAATATGACGTCTGAATGTCTGCCTTATGATGTGAATTATGTTTTAACAATAATGATTATAAAAATGTAAACACTCATTGTTTAACTGACAACAACATCACGTTCAGCACTAACTGTAATTATGATTAATAGAATTATTTTGATAACAATAGTACATATTTCTCGGTATTTTTACAGAAAAGGGAATACCTACAGAATAAAAAATTGTAAATAAACAATGAATCGGAGATATTGTAAAAGACGTTGGATGAATATCAAACACAGACTAAGCTACTGGGTGTAGCCTAACTTCAGACTTTGTTGATATATTGCAATCAAAAAGCAGAATCGATTTTTCCTGTAAAGAATCTTTTATCAAAAATGACAGAATTCTAATAAAAAGAGAACGAGAAATCGTCGGGGCGGTGTGATAGGATAATGAAAGGAAACGTTAATTATGATTAATTAAAAAATCTAACAGAATATTAATTGTTTTCTATTCATTAAGGCGCCCGAGAAACCTGATCGGCTTTTTAGTTAGAATTCAATCGGTTTTAACATTAGGATGATCTTTAATTAATTTTTAAAATATAAATCTTTGAATCCAAGGAATCAAAAGAAACATATTTTGCGAAAACCGTTCCAAAAGACATGATTGGATTTCGATACGTGAGTGATTCATACTTCACATTATTTCAACAATCTGCTCGTCCTAGCTACGCACATGTTTTTCATGGGTAAACTTACTTTGATTTCTTTACATGTTGGTGTCATGTAAGTAAAATTTAAGGATTAAATATTATTGGATGACGAAATGTTAAATACTTTCAATTAGTTGTCACTTTATAAGAGAAACCCCGCATGTGTTGAAGGAGAAACCAGCTGCAGTAATATTGAGTGAAACTCAATGTGATATATTACAGAGTTTAATGAAATTAAGTTTTAAAAAAAGTGCTGTAAACATCTATAATCTGACAAAAAATGTATGAATTAAAAATCAGCCAGATAGTATCCAGAATTAAAAAATAAGAGATATAATATGAACGCTTCTAGTTTAAAACCGTGTCAAACTTGTTCGAATGATTTTGGGATTAAAAAGGAATAATAGGGAGTCATAATCAACACCAGGGAAAATCATGATGTATCTATTTGTTAGATAAACACAGCCTTATTCACATCAGAAATAATCACGGAACATTCATTTATCAAATAAACACAGCCTTATTCACATCAGAAATAACCACGGAACAATAATTTATCAAATAAACACAGCCTTATCACATCAGAAATAATCACGGAACATTCATTTATCAAATAAACACAGCCTTATTCACATCAGAAATAACCACGGAACAATAATTTATCAAATTAACACAGCCTTATTCACATCAGAAATAACCACGGAACATTAATTTATCAAATAAACACAGCCTTATTCACATCAGAAATAACCACGGAACAATAATTTATCAAATTAACACAGCCTTATTCACATCAGAAATAACCACGGAACATTCATTTATCAAATAAACACAGCCTTATTCACATCAGAAATAACCACGGAACATGAAGGAAAATAAGAGGAACATCAAGAATATTCGGTAATTTGTTAAATAGATATGCCTTATTCATATCTTGGATAATTAGTGGGACAGCTATGTCATAAAAATAACCTGCCTTATTCATATCTTGGGTAATTAGTGGGACAGCTATGTCATAAAAATAACCTGCCTTATTCATATCTGGAATAATTAGTGGAACAGCTATGTCATAAAAATAACCTGCCTTATTCATATCTTGGATAATTTGTGGAACAGCTATGTCATAAAAACAACCTGCCTTATTCATATCTTGGATAATTAGTGGGACAGCTATGTCATAAAAATAACCTGCCTTATTCATATCTGGAATAATTAGTGGAACAGCTATGTCATAAAAATAACCTGCCTCATTCATATCTTGGATAATTAGTGGAACGGCTATGTCATAAAAATAACCTGCCTTATTCATATCTTGGATAATTAGTGGAACAGCTATGTCATAAAAATAACCTGCCTTATTCATATCTTGGATAATTAGTGGGACAGCTATGTCATAAAAATAACCTGCCTTATTCATATCTGGAATAATTAGTGGAACGGCTATGTCATAAAAATAACCTGCCTTATTCATATCTTGGATAATTAGTAGAACAGCTATGTCATAAAAATAACCTGCTTCATTCATATCTTGGATAATTAGTGGAACAGCTATGTCATAAAAATAACCTGCCTTATTCATATCTTGGATAATTAGTGGAACAGCTATGTCATAAAAATAACCTGCCTTATTCATATCTTGGATAATTAGTGGGACAGCTATGTCATAAATAACTGCAGCCTTATCCATATCAGGAGTTATCGTGGAGGATTTACGTACTGCTCTTTATCAAGAGGACACATTCTTCTTATATGAACACTGCTTATATGCGGGAACATTGACACCAAAAATAAAAGTGGTTATATTTATATCAGGGATAACCAGAGAGATGCAAAGTCTCTACATCATTGGTGATCGGTAAAAAAAATCTGAAAAATCAATAACGATTTGTAGCAATCGTGGAAAATCATAGGGGCACTTAATACGCGAACACCACATCACTTGAATTAAGTATACTTAATTCATTTCATAAGTAAAGACTCGTTTGTCAATTATTTTCAACCTAATCAAACTTGTCACCTGATCGTAATGACAAAGCAATGAGAATGAAGTACATCGTGTGTTGTTTAACAATATAAAGGATACCTATTGATACATCAGCCACACGTAAGCTGGTCATACAATAGCATTTCCAATATTAACGTTGACCTAAACGTGAACTTTTAGTGGATATAACGTTTTGTGTAGAAAAGTCATTTCAAGATCGGCACACGTTGATTTGATAAAAACGATTTAATCTTTGATAGATGGACATATTAAGTGGTGTCATTAATAAATGAATATCGACTGGTGTAATCAATAACCGAAGGAAAAAACGACTGGTGTAAATAATAATTGAAGAAATATCGAGAAATAATGAGTTAAGATTATATCGTCCGATATAATTAATGAGTTAGGACGATATCATCTGATATAATTAATGAGTTAGGACGATATCGTCTGACATAATTAATGAGTTAGGACGATATCGTCCGATATAATTAATGAGTTAGGACGATATCATCTGATATAATTATTGGGTTAGGACGATATCGTCCGAATCAATTAATGTGTTTAGATAAACTGATAGAGTTAATGAGGAGGGTAATATTATCCTATTTAATAAAGGCTGAGAATATAATCCACTGATATTATTGATGAATGAGAATGATGACTATGAGCACAGATTTTTCGCATCGAACGAGAATATCATCAATGGCATTTCCGATAGTTCTGCAGTACAATTGAAGTTTTCCGGTTGGCATATTCAT